AACTAAAAGCAGGGGAATATTAATATATTTTTATCCAGAATAAATGAAAATTAGATTTGGTCATGTAGCCCAAAGAAAGTTGGATATAAGGTTTCTCTGTTGGATATAATATCTGGTTTTTATGGATAGACTCTGACCAACCAATCTCCTATTGAAAACAGATGGAAAAATTATAACATGGCATACTGGCATTTCATCAGATAATACATTGGCTACCACAATATGTGAATACCAGTTTTATATATAGATGTCTACACATTTAATTAGTAACCAACTTAAACCTGGACTAAATTCCACTTGTTGATCTCTAGTAAGATAGAATCTCTGGCAGAACCATGGTTGCAATCTGGCAAGTCTAATTGGATGTCAAATATCAAATAATAATAATCTGAATAGTTATGCCACTCCTTATAGTGATCAAACATGTTTTGAAATGAATAAAAACATTAAAAATGTATGCATAAATATATAAATACATAAGATTTACAAAGCTTTGATATAATTAAACTTAAAATTTTTATACTGAACTTTATAAGCAGCACAAAAAACTTTTAGTCAGTAATGTTTTCAGCCAATTTTTAATTAATGATCACCTTCAGGTAACATAGAAGAAATCAAACAATGTAAATATTTAGAATAACAGAATGCCAAAGAAATTCAAATTAAAATAAAATTTTTGGTTTGTAAATGGTTATTATTCTAAACTATCATTTAAGAATAGAAATTTTATGCAAGTAATTAAAAAGTTAAGATTTTATAAAGAAAATCAAAGTATATGTTGGAAATCAAACTAATTCTCAATTATTCATTGCCATAATAAGAATATTCCCAATTTTGTAAATTAAATAAAAATATTTTCTTAATTATTATTGACAGTGTAATAAAATTTTTATAAAACTTATTTTTTGAATAAATATATCTTTTATGATTGATATATTTATGATTATAAAGTTTTGAGATTATTTTATGATTAAATTTTATAACAGTTTATGAAAATTCAAATAAGTCAAATAACAATGATATATAGTAGAATCTATCTATTGCAAAGACAATTATTATCATCAGTCATTTTAATATTACTAGAAGTAGCAAGTCCCCAAAACGTGCAAATTAATTAAAAAAACATTCTTTAAACTTTGCTTATTGTAATCAGACTTTGATTATAGTTATGAATATATTTGGATAAGCAGGCATTCTTAAATGGTCTTTTTGCACTGTCAGCTTCAACTTGGGGCTGATAATACACAATTGTTATCACTCTTATCTAGTATTTCAAATATTAAATGGTTATTGTTTTAATCATTATTTGCTCACAGTGTACAGTAGTTAACTTGCTGGCATTTCTTATGTTATATGCTATTTATTGTTAGAGATACTGATGTAACCAGAAGGTAAACAATATTGGACAAATTATTATTAATTAATAATTAATTGACTAGCAATTAGTAGTGCAAATTATAGTGTACATTTTCAATTGTTTTAATGTCAAAGACAAAAATTAGAATTTCCTGTAATCATAAGTTTATTTACTTATATTCAGTGGTGATATTCGAAATATTTAACAAAGGGTTCGCTAATAGAAAATTTTTCCTTAACAATTTTTTTTCGCTCAAATGGTGCATCGGAAGGCTCTAGTTTAGTAGTGTTACAGAGTATAATACGTATATTTTAATATATTTTTTAAAAGAAACAAAGCCACTGAGAAATGTTACATGTGTTTAACAAGGTTCGGAAAACTTTGAAAATGTTAACAAAGGGTTCGTGCGAACCCGCTGAATATCACCACTGCTTATATTGCTTAATGTTATCAGTTATTAGTGTCACTGTAGAGAAGCCTCAATGTGACTAAGTGGATTCTCTACTGATAAACCAGACAAAATTATAAAATCAAAGCATGAAAGATGTAAAAAAATTATGTTAAAGTTAAAGTTATGACAAATTGAGATTGTTAATTTTAAACAACTGGGGTTTAAACAACTGCCTCAAGAATCATCAGTTTGAGTAAGTTTTATCAAAATTTTTTAAAATATCAGAAGAGTAGCAATAAATTTTATTAAAAAAATTTGTAATGTACGGTACTACATCAGCTTGAGCTAATCCAATTTGGTAATTATTGATATTTTTTGAAATTTTAATATAATGCAACTTCTATATTAATATTTCAAAAAATACTAATATGATATATGATATGATATTAATTATATTAAATTTCAAACATTTAAATAAACTCAATCTTAAAAAATAATCCCATATATCTTTGTGATACATAACCAATTGGATATTACTAAACTTGCTAGTTCCCAAAGAGTTGATTCCAAGAGTAAAAAATTTCAGGAGGTTTGAAAGATTTTCTCATGGGAATGGCCAAAACCTCACATTTTTACTCTTGGCAATATCAAAATGTTATTGTCTATTCTTTAATTTGTTTCAGTACATACCATACCACAAAAGTTAGAAAAGTTCCTCCTTAAGAAGTAAGTACAAGAGGAATAGATTTTATTTCAGAAGTTAGAGAATTTTAAAATTTTTGCCAAATTCCAGGAGTCTTCTGGTGAATCCAAGAGAATTGGTAATTCTGCTTTTAGCATAAGTTACAATACTATTTTTCAATTGTTAAATACTTCTACCATAAAATAAAATAATTAACACTTTAGTTGTGGTATTACAATCACAATTTTTATAATTTAGACATATTTGCTTTAATAATTTATACGTACTTTAGCACATATGTCTAAGTTATGATCATTACTTCTACTATATATTCTTGTGTGCTGAATTTGACCTATGGGCCTAATTGTAAAACAGATTTAAAAAATTTTCTGTCATAAACCCTAAAATAAATGATCATATTACAAAGTATAAACTTGAAAGAAATCACAGCAAATTAGGTCCATAGGTCAAACTCAGATTACATTAAATATACATATAGTGGAGGTATTTTCCAATTAAGAAATTCTAGCCACAATCTCATACATAGGAACTTTGTGACTTTCCATAGTTATAAACATTTTACTGAACAAATAACCTCATGTATAACAAGTATGTAATAATACTGTATAAATATAACTACATTCCACACTTTAAAAGAAAGTTTTAAAGTTGCAAAAGTATTAATAATTGGCAAATAAATTTTTCAGAACCTAAATTTGAAAGTTATGAGCAAGTATTATATGTATATTTTATTTTTCTTTGACATAAAACCACTGCCGGCCCAAGCAAACTCAGCACTCTAGGCAAATGACTTTGACATCACCCCATTTAAAAAAAATTTCAACAATATAAAACACCAATGTAAAATAGAATATCTAATTTTAATTCAATATGCAACATGCAATATCGCGATTGTGAGACTACGGCGCTACTTTCAAAATGGCAACTCGCAGGTCAACACGTGAGAAAGGATTGTGATCAAAAATATTTATTTTTTCATTATTTATTGTAATTTATGTATGTACTTTCGCCACACTGCTCCCCCGAATTCAAGCGCCCTATACCATCACCTGGTTCGCCTATATGAACGGGTTGGCCCTGCATAAAACAAAATCAGATTCATATGACTAAATTTGAAAGAAAACCAGTAAATACAATTTTTTTATACAAAGATATTCCTATATAAAATTAATAAAAAAGTAATGGTTAACCTTATTAAAAATTCAATGTGTATAATGATGCTTATCAGTCATTTGTATTTTAACAAAAAATTTTCCAGATTTTGTTACAATCAATGTCATCAAGATATATACTAAATTTTATTTGTTTATATAATTATTTTAGAGATAAACTGGTTATGATATACTGTTGATACTGATAATTTTCTCTTAATTTTTAAATTATAAAAATAATGTCACATAATATAGTAAAGCAAAGTTCAATGTATAAAGTTAACAAACTGTCAAATGAGATCAAATTTATAAAATACTTTTAAGGTAAATTTCAGAGAATTATTTTTGAATATTCTAATTTCTAACTTTAAGTAAAATATATTTGAAAATTGTTCTTGGATCATTGAGTAAGTGGAATAGCATCAGAGTTGGATTTACATTTGTTATTGCTCTAAACAGTAACGTAAAAGAGGTCCTTCCTCCCTTCACAAAAGAATAAAGAACAATACATATTAATTATTTTGGAGGTTAGAGTGAGGTCCTAAGCTGTAACTTGTTTAGTTAATGCAAAAATGCAGTCTTGTATAACATTATATCATTCATTCATCCATTCATTAATAATCTTCCTTTGAACAATCAGGCAGTTAATTAAAATTCTGCTCATCTTTCCTATTAAAAATAAACATAGGATCTATACTTGTTGGCAACAAGATTATTCAGTTCCATATTATAAAAGAATGAAAGAAAATAGATTAAATCTCATAATGTAAACCAGAATTAGGCATTGTAAAAGTAGGTCAAATAATAAAAAAAGTTAAGGAAAAAGTATATCTAGTCTTTGAATAATTCAATATATAAGATCCTTAAATATAGTTTTAAATAAATAAACTTTATAAGAATTATTTAAATTACAAACATAGGATTTTTAAACTGGAAATTTTAAAAATTTCAAACTTTATTAAGTAATTTAAAAAGTTTTATAAGGAAATTTTTGAATTGCTTGAAAAGACATATTTTATTTTATATGTTTAAATTTATTATTGTAAGCAGTTTTGTTTCAGTTCAAGTAATGTTAGTTTTGATCAAATTATTTTTAGTAATCATGTATTTTTTTTTTCCTTGGATGGAAGCGCATGATTGATGATACTGGTCACTTCCTCCTGAAGAAAAATGAAGAGAAAATTTTATTTCAAATTTATATTTGTAATAATTAAAAGCATTTTAAGTTAATCAATTATATTGATTTTTTTTTAATTAACTATTTTCAACAATAATGCATAATAACCGTGAAAATATATACATTTAGAATAATTTTAAAAAAATTTAACAAGAGTTGTTTGGCAACAATTTAAACTTTGTTTTTGAACAAGTTTATCATTTCATCCGCTAAGCGTCGCCATCAATTCGGTACACGGCTAGTCACGTGACTCGCCTATACTTTCTTGTATTGTTCGATTATGGTCCAGACGAAGAGTTTCTATCGAATGGATCCAAACACTACGCGAAACCATTAAGTAACCATCGATTTTACATAAATAAAATGTAATTAATAAGGTAAGCGAAACCGTTTAAGTAATTTGTATATTAGTTTATATTACATTAGTAAATTTTCGCGACGAATTTTTACATCAGGTGGTTAGGCTTGACTTTGTGTTTAAATGATTAAAATAAAAGTTTTTGTGAATGTATAATTAATTTTTATTTATTTTAATACATTCTGTATTAGTTTGTTGTGTTATTGGAGTGTAGTTGAATGAATGACACATTTTAAATACGACCAAATCGGGTAAAACTTTCACCCGTGTCCCAATTTTTGCACATAATATGTTCGATTTTAGTCAGAAAAGGGTATGAATTTATCTATTTTCTTCTTTGATCTTTTGTTTATAGAATTTTCTGAACATCTGCTACCAATTAATGGCATTTGTCGAGACACCTGCACAACAAAAGGAGAAAAAAAAATACTCGACTACAGGTTTATTCCGTAACTAAATATCAACTTTAAAGTAGAAACTTGGAAATTATTCAAGAAAAATGAAAATTTTATGAGTTTTTATGTCATTGATCAATGATCAATCACGATCGTCGAAATTGATCTTTCATCATTGATTTAAGAGTTAAGAAACTTAATTATAAAAGAAGCGATTCATAATTTATCGCAATATATTTTGATAATTGATTATAATGATAATGGATAACGATTAAACATTGACTCACATCGATATAACTTATATAAGAATCGTTGCTTAACTGTAATTAATGTACAATCACGTGACTGAGTTTAGCTAGTTTAGTCACGTGATTATTGAAATAAATCGAATTTTTCACTTTTTTTTTTTTAAAAAAGTGAAAAACTGTTTTATATTTTTTGCATATAGTTATTCGCTAGGAAGACTTTAAAAATAAATTAACATAAAATCGAGAATAATATATAAAATACCGGCATATTTTTTATTTTTAGCTACAATTATTTTATATAACTATTTTAATATAATAAATTTATTTAAATTGTTAATAGTAGTAATAATAATAATAATAATAATAATGACATGAAGATGCTCTTTAAAAATGTCCTTGAAAAGTGCCAAGTCTTAAAGATCATTCGGTTTGTTTTGACTATGGCAAGTGACGTCATATTGTCTGCAGTTTAATTTTATTATTATTTATTTATTTACTTTAGGTGAAATTAATTAATTGCATTAAACAATTAGAATTTATATATAGGAAAGCAAAAATAATTTTAAAAATAAATCTTCGATGTTTAAAGGACCAATTAGAAAATAGTATGTGTTTACGTCATTAATGTCGTGTCTCGCTTGACATACGTTTGAATTTACGACCGAAGTCGTTATTAATGAAACTTTTTTTTCTTCTACATTTTATGATCTTTCTGATATATAATTAATAGCTTATAACCGANAAAAAACAAACAAAAAAATTAAGTACAGCGAAAATAAATGCATTTAATTAAAAAAATTAATTTTAATTACATTTAAAATTATGCAAATGAACCTTAAATATAAATAAACTGAAGTCATTGCTTCAGTTTATTTATTTTTCTGGCATGTGAAAAATTCAAAGTTAAATAAATAAAGTTAAATATTGTAAATTTGCCAATAAAATTTTGTACTTTTAAATAAAGAAATGAGTCAATATTTTTTTTAAAAAAGAATGGAAAATATTTCCTTATCGTTATTTCTAGCGATGCGTTAAGACATAATGGATAAGTTGAATAATAAACAGTTTTGACAAATCCTTATCATCAACAGTTTAATTTAATTCCCTTTTAGAAAGAAAAACTGTATTTTTGGGGGTAGAAAATGGGTTAAACACTTGCATTGAAAACATTTTATGCCATAAAATTTATTACATTAACCTTCTTTTTGTGTGAAGTAACCGTGTATTGTATTTTTGTTAAATGGTTCTGCAATTTGGCTTAGACAATTTTATAATTGTTGTTTATGCATTTGACTCATTGAATTATCGAATAATTTCGAGGTAATTTGTCTCTAATTCCTAGAAATTTTCTAAATTATATGGCAGCTGTTTTTAGTGAAACTTGGTGTCAATCCACCAAGTTGACCTCATTCTTCCCACGATATCATATACCCATCATTATAAACAACTTGTTCTATAGATTACAACAGATTTTTAAACCAATCTCAGATTATTTTTATTAAAAAAATATTTTTCCTGTTCATGAAAAGAATAATATATACCTTTAACTAAACACCTATGGGAGGTATATAAATCATAAATTGTAATGATGCGGAAATTCGCATTGACGCCCTGTGAAATGACCTTAAAAGTAACATACTTTTTCTTTTTTTTTTATATTTTTCTGGATGTGTTTTAAAATATTAATTCATAATTATTTATATACATATATATTTTAAACCCGTTTATTCGTCTCCGTCTCAACACGTGGGTGGGCCAAGTTTTAGAATTGAATGTAGGCGAGCCGGCTTGTAAATTGTAGAAGCGATCGATGAAAAGTTTTGATTTCCACATTTTATGCATCATTTCTTTTATAAATGCTGTCATTTTTTTATAGAAATTGTTTACGATCTGTAATTTGAGTCTTGGGTCCGTTTGCTATTCTTGTTGAAGGTACGTAGAAACTGTCATCTCGATTAATAAACAGCATTAAATAATCTTTCCTCCCACGATATCTGTTTGAAAAATTATTTATGAGTGTCATAAAATGCTCAAACGTTGTGTTAATATTTGTTATCCATTGAATTTATTCTATTTGACCATGGCAGGTGTGACTTTCGACCCAGGTGCAGTTTACAAAGGACCACTGTTATAAATAAACGTTCGGTAATGTTCAGTCAGTCTCGTGGTTTTTATGAGTTTTTGGTACTTTGCCCAAACTGTGAAGAAAAATAACATTTATCAAGGTCCCGTAAGAGCCGTTATATCACAAGATTGTTTAGTTTAACCCAAATTTAGTCCAAGTGTAATACTGAAAATGTTCTGGGTCGTATCTCTCAGATGACGGAAATAGTGCCTATCAATTGCTTCCTCTAATGTTGCGTCACTTCCTGTTCTGTTTGCAGGAAAAGAGCGACATAAAATACAATTCAACAATAACTTTATAACTATTTTTCGAAAATTTAATGATGTTTTAGATACTTATTTTGTAGGAAATGAGAATTTTAATCGTTGATTATATATGGTTATCCTGTTTGATAAAGAAAGTTGCTAATGTATAAAATCACTAATGCGTAAAATCGTCTAAAAAGGTAACAGACCGATAAGGAATTTTCTACTGCAGATAAGAAATTTTTTGAAATAACAAAAATGAATAGAAAAATTACACAGATTGCAATTTTTAAAGCAAGTTTTTGTAATGAAAGCTTCAAGTTTGTGTATATTCTTCACTATAAAAGAATTACTGTATATTCTAAAATATTTTATTAGTTAATTACATAAGATTTTCATAACATTATAACGAAAAATTAAGGTTAGAAAATGTCCGAAATTTTTTTTTATCGTATGCAAATTTAATGAGAAAATTATGAATTTTTAACATCACAATCTCCTTTGAATGAGAGAACCTATATATTCGATTTTAATTCTCAGTTAAAGTTAGTAAAGTGTTAAATTTTATAATAAATTAGCGCTTTTTCTTACAGTTTATTACTTTTGTTAACAATTTTAAGTTTTTGATTTAGTACAAGCAAGCTGGAAATTTGTAAATTTCAAAAAAAATTTTATTGAAACTTGTAAATATCGATCGGAAAATTACTGTCATTTATTTTTCATTTAATATCTCAAATATGCAGTTTAAAAAATCTCTGCTTTATTCATCAAATTGCCGATTAAAATTGCTGGCTAGACGATTTTCCACTTCCACTTTATTTTTTATTTTCTTTTCCAATGTCACAATTTCTTTATATTTTATAGAAATTTCTTTAAATGTTAGTTATGTAGATTTTTAAATTCATGCACTTAGAGATATTTATTTTACATGCAGATGTAATTGTTTAATTATTTAGTTTATGATAGTCTTTTTAAATAAATTATAAAATTCTGTATATATAGATCTAAATTTAAATTAATTAAGGTGTACAGTAGTTTAAAATTAGAAAAAGATAGATAAAATAAAATCCAAATAATGCAAATGAAAAATATTTTAGTAATTAATTATTAAAAAAATACTACTACTAAATGTATGAAATTATTTACTTTGCATTTTTTCAAATTAATGTTTTACTAGAAGTTTTAGATCAGATATTGATTTATCTCAACATATATTTTTTTTTCATTTTGATTATTCAAATTTTATTTTATCAATTTCTATATTTTATAATTTGGATAATTTCATAATAAAAACGAGCAATTACTGTATTTATTGGGACATTGTCACAATTCTGGACTGCAATTTTAATCATATTTTTAATTAATTTAATTTAAAATACTATATGCTCTCCATCTCAAATTAGTCATGGTTTGCCCCTGTACATTATACTTTCCTTTAACAGTAGATTCACACTGGTGGTCTATTAACATCTTTCGGGGAGAAATTTTTGAATTGAAATAATATGACTTTCAGTTTATATCAGATGTTCATATATAGTTAATTGGGGCCTCCTGCCCTAAGATTTCCACATCTGGCCTTGTCTTTTATATATTTAACTGCATTCTCGAGATTAAGGAAAGACAGATGGATAGACAGACAGACAGACAGACAGTGGGAGTTTATAGGTCTACAATTTTTTCAAATTGCAGCCTAATAATATACATTTATGTAAATCATTGGATATATATTTACACACACAAATTTTCTATTTTTATTAAAAATTTAAGCTAATGAAATAATTGAATTTCTGCAAAATTTTATTTAATGTTTTAAACTAAATGCCAAAATTTTTTAAAATCCTTTTTAGTAAGATTAGTTTAGTTCATACTTTTATTAAAATCTGAAAGGACTTTTTAATTTATTAGAAAGGAAAATATTTATTATTAAATTTTTGTGCATCACACAAAATATCTTCAACAATTAATTTTTGATAATGATGATGCAGTTCATTAAATTTTTGATGTAA